CATCGAGCTTGCTGGGTCAGCCCCCACACCCTTCTCTTTCCATTTATAATAACTTAAAAACATATTTAAATCTAGGCAAAGTCCCATTTCTCTAGCCAATAATAAAAAGAGTCCCAAGTTTGATAGCAGTAGAGGGTGGCACCTTTAATTGGTTTTTTTGCGTGGTGCACCTATTCTCTCCAGCAGGGCTGCACAGGGATGGGAGATCTGGTCACTTTGCTGCGCTGAAAGCCGCAGGTGACGGGTGATGCCACACACCTGAATATAACGTATTAGGAAGGCACAGAGGTACATGGTCTGGGCTGTGGCTCAGTGGTGGCCCACCGGCTTTGCATCCAAAATCCATCTTGAATCTTCGGCATCACAGGAGGAGGAAAAGCAAGAAATGAACCAGCAGGCGCCCGGAAGCCCTCGGCCTCCTCTGAAGCTGTGCTGATAAGCACTCCCTTGGAGGGTCAAGTCACAGGTGGACAGAGCTCCTCCTGGCACGGCCCTCCATATGCCACATGTCCTCACTTCATTCACACATGCAGCCTCCCCCCACCAACCCACAGAACGCAGCTGCGGGTGAGCATTTTTAGCCCTGTAATGGAGGCTGGGTAGGGAACGTTCAATCTCCCCAAAGCAGGCCATGGAAGGTGGGTGCCCTCCACTCCCGGGCCCATTCATGTGGGCTGGATGAGGAGCAAAGGGGCCTCTTGGCTTCTAATTTCATTGGCCTGAATTTGTTTTTCCTCGACGTCCTGTGCATCTATCCAGAATGAAGGCGGCTGTCCCAGGATAACAGCCGTTCCTGCCATGGCCTGGATGGATTCCCCTTCCCTTGGTTCATGATACCTTCAAGCACTTTGCCACCAAGAACTTCAGAGAAATGCGTTGACTCTTCCTCTTTGCTCCTCCAGCTGCGGAAAGAGGAAATAAAGACGCCGACGAGAAAATCCTTTTTCCAAATGTGCCTTGCAGTTTGCTGCTTCTAGGAGTTGCATGTGTGGCCAGCAGCCCAGCAGGATGCGTGCAGGAGCTGAGCCAGCCGCCTTGGCACAGAGCAGCCCTGCTGCAGGCACAGCGGCCCTGACCAGAAGCAACCTCTGCTGTTCCTCTCACTGCGCCAGCCGTGCCGCCCAGTGCTGTGCAAAGCAGGATGCGGAGCTCTCACGTCCACGTCGGGTCAGCCAGGAGTCCGGCATGCAAGGGGACTGCTTCGCACATTCCAGGGAGAGCAGTCAGTGGGGTGTGGGAAAGGCTTCCAGGCCTTTCCTCCGCATGCTTGGGTCTCCCAGGAAAGGGAGTCGTGCATTTCTCCCCTGCAGAGATGTGGGTTTCTCTGTCGGCATTCCACACTCGATGTGGACATGGGATGCAGAGGCATGCGGAAGGGGTGCCGGGTGGATACAGGGCATCAGGGAGGTGAGAGGGACAAGCTCTGCTCCAGACAAACAGCCCCCCCACCAGACCCCTGTGGTTTCTTGAAGGAAAGAAAATTTGCACATACCGCTTATTGGTGAATCATGATTAAAATCACGCAGAAGCAATCTGAAACAGGTGCACGGGTCCCGGCTCAGCATTTCCTGGCAGAGCTGCAGGGAGCACTTGCCTGATGAAGATGCAAATTGGGTGGCTTTACCTAGTCCAGGAGCTGGCCCAATAAAGGCATCACGCCAGTATGGATTTTGGAATTGCGCTAAGGGGCAGCCAGATGGCACAGAAGAGGCCGCTGCTTCTCAGTCAAGGCCCATCACTGTGCGCTTCCACGAGTACCCACACTGTGTGTACATGTCTGTGTGTGTGTGTGTGGGGGGGGGTGCATTGATATTCTGCTGCCTGATTAATTGGAAATTTTTTACATAAATCAAAAGGTCTTGAATTGATCACGATACCAGTTAGGTGACAAAACACGCATCCTCTGTGGCCAGGTATTCAGCACAGTGACTGCCCATGTTCACACGTGCTTCTTTTTGTGTGAATTTTGCAAATGCAAACCTTGTTTGGCAAAGGGGAGCATCAATCTCAGTTCCTAGTTTGGCCAGTCATGTTTCTCATACTCTTGAGTTGGGTGCCCTCTGCTGGTCAATAGCTCCAATAGAATAGTTTGCCAAAAAAAAAAAAAAAACCTGCTGGGGAGAAGCAGCCATGAAGCCAAAAACATTGTGAAAGAGGAACTTGTGGGTAAACATATCAAAGGACTTAGTTATGTCTTCCTATCTCTCCCCCTCTCCTGTAACTTCATCCAAGCCGTCTCCTTCTCTCCCTTTTGGAAAGAAATAGACCTGCAGTGCCTGAAATCTGGCTCTTCGGAGTGGGGTGCGGAAGGTCATCTTATTTATGTGCCGTGAGGATCGAGAGCAGTGATGTCGAACCTTTTAGAGACCGAGTGTCCAAACTGCAACCTAGAACCCACTTCTTTATCGCAAAGTGCCAACACTACAATAAAACCTGAAAACTGAGGTTTTACTTTAGAGAAAGCAATTCACAGTCAGTCCAAGCAAATATGTATCTATATCCTTGGCAATGCACTGACTGACCATGCAAAAGCTTGGACAAGTCATGGCTAATGAGCTGTGGCTCGTGACGCCATCGCCTGGCGCTGCTACTCCTTTCCAAGAAGGCGCATGGCCGCTATGCGCGCTGTTATCTGATGCTTGGCTGCTGGGGCGACTTGGCTCATGTGCCAACAGAGAGGGCTCTGCGTGCCCGCTGTGGCACGGGTGGCATAGGTTCACCACCACTGGCCTAACCCTAGCCTGGTACGGTGCTAAAGTTCCATTGAAAAGAAGACGATTTGAAAAAGCCTTCCTTGAGTGGCTTTTTTGGCACAGCTCAACGTTTCTGCCCATTCTAAACACGTTCCAACCATCCAAATCATGCCAGGACACCTTGTTCTTCTAACCCTAACCCTACCCTGGTGCACACCCCTAACCCTAATATAGGGCAAAAATTCCATTGACAATAGTCCTGTCCGACCCATCGTGACCCCATGGACAACATTCCTCCAGGCCTTCCTGTCCTTCACCATCCCCTGGAGTCCACCTAAGCTCACACCAACTGCCTCAGTGACTCCATCCAGCCACCTCAACCTCTGCCGTCCCCTTCTCCTTTTGCCGTCAATCATTCCCAGCATCAGTGTCTTCAGTGAGTCTTTCCTTCTCATTAGGTGGCCAAAGTATTTTAGTTTCATCTTCAGTATCTGGAGGGTTTCTTAAATAAAGGAAGCCTTTGTATAAACAAGAGTACAGAATTTAGGCTGAAGAAGAAAAACAAACTATCCATTTTTAACCAGTTCCTCCTTGCCAGCCCTGGTGGAAACCCACATGCCGCAACCACCCCCCACACCTCCCGGCTGAGACTTTGCAGATCATGACCTTGCCTTGCAATTCAACCTTCCTGCCCCACCCAGAGAAATCCACTCTCCCTTCCCTTGTCAGCATGAAACAAGGCTGGGGCCTCACCACACAAGCACCGCTTCCTCTGTGAGCCAAAGTCTGTTCCCTTTTTTGGTTAGCAGCTACACAAGAGCTATTTCTGGAAGATGCTGCCCTCTGGCGCTGCCCAACTTCTGCCCCCAGGGACACTGTGCCTGGGCTCCCACTGGGGCAGTTGCTCTTGCTGGACTGCGCACTGGAAGTTGGAGACCCTGGGAGGGCTGGATTAGGTCTCTGGCTGGTGGTTCCCCACCCCTGGCAGAGAGCATCTCCACCGTCCATTTCTGGGATTTTGGTCAATCTTCCTCAGCTGATGTGACAGCTGGTCTTAATCTGCATGGTGGATTTATGTAACTCACAACATGGAAATGTTTAATATGTCGCTATCAGCATCCATCCCCCTAAACTTTTTAAATTGGGCAGCAGCGACCCTCATCCCCAAGACTCTCGCCAACCACCTAGGGGCTACTCCGCTCCCCACATGGGGCCCCATGCTTGGAGTCCAAGGGCAGCGAAACGCAGAGACAGGCTGTGGATCTGATGGCCCAGGAGGCAAGGCTGCCGGCCTGAGTGGCTCGTGGAGGCACAGCCAGCCATGCAGATTTGCACCAGACTGGGCAGCCCGAGAGGCCAGGCCACGTGCTGGTTAGAGCGCCCATCAGGTACTCGCTCTCGGGCAAGCCTGCCTAACAGCGTGGCTGTTATAAGGCTGGAAGGGGGTTCCTCCCAAGAGGGAAAATGCTGGGATGCAAATGCAATGCAATGCGGTAATAAATGTTTGGCCCTTAATCCACGTCAAGGTGTGGAGTTCCCAAAGCTTTGGTGCATAAGGCGGAAGAGCCCATGAGCACCTCTCCTGATCCCTGAGACTAGACATACAACCGTAGCTGAGTCATAAGGTAGGCATGTCATGAGCGGAGCCAGTTGGAGCTGGGGGTCAGACCAGATGGCCCAGGAGCTCCCTTCTGACTCACTCTGTTTCTATGTTCATTCTAACCATGCTTTGTCCCTTCAGGTGCCCAAGGTGGCCACCTCCCTCTGCCAGCCTTGGCCCTGGCCACCAAGACTCGGGAATGCCGAGACACCAGCTGCACTCTCTGCCCATCGGGAATGGCCTACAGAGTCAGTATTTTATTGTGTGTTAATTCCCCCTTCAAAAAACCCCCAAACACTATGGATACGGGAATGGTGCTTCCTTTAATCTGGCCAGCAAGTAGAAGCCGGAAGATGCCTTTGCATAACCAGAAGCAGAACCTGAGTGGCTGCCAGGCTGTCTCTGATGGTGAGAAGATGACCCCTGTGGCAGAGGGAGCTCTCCCATAATATCGAACTCTGGCCTGCGAGAAAATAGCCAGGAAGGAACAAGCCCAGTTTGTTTCGTCTTTCTTCTTTGCCTTCTGTTGCACAACAGCCTGGCTCTCAGTCCTGCCAAGGGCATGTGAACTCTGCGTACTCCCAGAGCCCTGTTGGCCTTTGACGATGTAACGGGAACAAAGGGTGGCCATGCAGAGGACAGAATATGCTGTTCAGAGCCCATCTGGTTTGCCGCACACCATCGTGCGGAGCGCTCTTCCCTCAAAAACAGAAATGGACGGCTGATAGCACAAGCCAAGGAGGGATGGGGCCAGGGAGGTTCCATGGAGCTCCCGTTTCACAGGCCAGCTTTGTTTTCTGGCATCCACAAGCTTGGACCAGTGCCACAGAACATCCTGTTTTTCCCCTTCACTGGCTCCTCTTCTTGCCATTGGTTTCTTTTAAGGGCCCCATAAAATTGCTTTACAGAAATTAAAAGCACGACTCAAACCCCTGGCTTCCCGAGCAGATGAAAGCGTGTCGACCAGCGTGGAGGATCTTCAGCCGACAGCTTCTGAAAGAGGCAGACAGGCAAGAGTTTATAGAGGTAACATTTTACAGTGACAAAATATGCAGGGAAGCAGCCTCCCTTGCAGGCACGCGGGACAGCTGGAGGTTTGCAAAACTTTCAGAAACACGGGCATGTGGCAGCTCCAGCAAATGATGAACTGGTGTGCAGCTTCTTGCTTCTTGCAGGGGGTTATAAAGAGATTTAATGTTCATCTGTTTTCTATCCGTGCAGATCATTCAGGAGGAACATTTTTCAGGTAAGACATTTGGCTATTAATGCACACAATTGTTTGTTCAGCTGGGGATAAAGTGTAACAAATCACAGCAGCTACTTTTTACTGATTTCAGAATTGCATCGCAATGAAGAATGGCAAATTGGTTGCACTCAGCTTTTATACAGTGCAACAAGGTAGCCCTTTAAATTTGTTTTAATATCACACTACCTTAATTTATTTGCATGTTCCTTTTGTGACTGGAGTGGCCCTTGGACAACCCAAGTAATAACAGGCCTAATTCTTTTCCCCTGAGTTGAGAAAGGGAACCCTAGTGGAGAATTAAAAATATTTCAGAGAGTTTTTCAGATAATTTCTGGATGGGCAGCTTGGAAGGAAACCCTGCTACAAGAGAGTTTTGTGTTAGCCCCTTTCTTTTGAATAGTTCTAGTTCTGCGTACGAATGAAAATGCAAGGCTTAGGGAAGCTAGATTGTATAAAGAATGCAGGAGTCCGGCAAGGGGACCTGGATCCAAACCCTCCCTCAGCCATATATCTCCCAAAGATCCCATTTGAAAATGTTCCACGAATCTTGATGTGAGAATTAATGCACACTCTGAAGATGCTGGATGTGCAAATTAACATGTGCTCTGAAGACTGGGAATGTGTCTCCTAAGCATCCCCATTTGTGGAGAATTGTGTGAATCCAAATTTTCGAATTTATGTATGCTCTGAATTTTGTGTGTGTGTTCCCCAAAGACACTCATTTGCAAATATTCTCATGAATTTGTACATGCAAATTGAAACATGCCCGGAAGTCTCTGCATCTGCTTCTCCTAAGGACCCCCTTTCGCAAAGCATCATAAAGATCAACATATGTGAATATACATATGTTCTAATGTTTCTGTGCACACCTTGCTGAAGTGTGCTAACCTGGGGGAGCAGCTGAGGCACAGATCTTCAGGGCCCCTGCCTGTTTACGAGTGCCATGGAGAGCAGCCTGGTGAATCAGGGGGTCTGCCGGGGGTCCCGCTTCAGGAAAGGTCCTTTGAGCAGGCAGCCTGGAGGGGCAGCCAGGACAGGCAGGAAGGGAAGGCACACACACCACCAGCAGCACCTGCACAGGGCTCCATGTTTGGAGGGCGAAGGTGAGAGTCTGGATCCCACTGCAGGGCAGGGCAGGGCAGGGACGGCATCCTTCCCCAGGCACGGTGGACACAGCGGGGGGCTCTGCCCACTGGCCTGCCCTGCAGGGTTGTCATGCGGGGCGGTTCCCGGCAGTGCCAAGCTGGGGGTCCGAGCCGGCTGGCTGGCCGGCACGGTGTGCACTGCCTGCCCTCAGCAAGAGCAAAGGGAAGCACTGCGTGAACGTGGCCTTTTTCGCGAAAGCTCTCCAGGCTGTTCCCACACAAACGGCCGCTCGCCAAACGCCCCTTTCTCAATTTCCGGGCTGGTAGCTTTTCTTCAGCATAAAAATCTGCAGAGGGCAGCTTCAGCGTGAGGCAGCTCCAGAGAAGCACAGGAGTGCTTTGCTGCCGTCGCTCTGTGCCATCGGGCTGTCTCCGGCTCACCCTGCGGATGAGCGCCTTCCCAGCGGCCCTGGCCTTGGCGGCCTGGCCCAGCCCTCGCCAATACATGAGCGCTCCGACGTCACAATAGAAGGAAGACAGGAGCTGAGGGGGGGGGGCAGTGGGGGGGCTCTCCCTGGCCAGGCTGCTGGGACTGCATGCACACTGCTCCAAGAGGCCAATCGTGCAATCAGTCGCCCCCACACAAACTCTGTCACTCCACGTCCAGCCCTCTGGGGGACCCTCCCAGCAGGAGTTGTTGTCCCCTCCACCATCACCCCTTTGCAGAGGTCCTCATGCCTCCCCACCCAAAGGCCGGCAGCTGCGCCCCCTTGTGTGCTCGGAGAGGCCGCTCTGCACCTCAGGAACCTGAGGGGGCCGGGGGAGGTCAGCAGGCAGCAGGGCTGTATGGGGGACCAGTATCCTGGCTAAACTGGGGGACCGGCCAGCCCTTCCAGTCCACCTCCCCCCCAGCCTCTGCTCTGCTCAAGCAGCCCAAGGGCCCCAGAATGGCTGGACGAGCCAAGCAAGAGATGCTGCGGAGCAGCAGGTGAGAGCGTGGCCCGGACCTTGGGCTCAAGTCCCCACCTGAAGTGCTCTGGGTGGCGCTGGGCTGGAGCCTGCCTCTCGTCCCGACCTTCCCCATGGGGATCCTGTTGCGAGGACAAAAGGGAAAGGAAGGGGTCCTCGTGGGCTGCGCTGGATCCCTTGCAGGGGAGAGGGATGCAGGGCGCCTCTGATGCAAGGGTGCTGGTGGTAGAACTGCCTGTTGCTTGCCACACGTGGGCCCTCTGATGGCCAGACGCTCCCTTTTTGCCAGGCTGACCTGAAAGATGAGGCCTGCTGGAGAAAAGGTCACCCTGAACGTCGGGGGAGTCCGATTCGAGACGTACAGCAGCACTCTCAGGGCCTTCCCGGGGACCAAGCTCTGCCGGCTGACGGAACCCCAGGCCTCCTCCAGCTTCGACTATGACCCCCACGCCAAAGAGTTCTTCTTCGACAGGAACGCCAGCCTCTTTGATGAGGTGCTGAGCTACTACAGGAGCAAGCAGCTCCACTGCCCTGACCTGGTCTGCAAGTCTGCCTTTGAGGAGGAGCTGGCCTTCTGGGGGATCCCGGATGCGCCCTTGGCTCCCTGCTGCCAGCAGAAGCTCAGCGATGCCGAGGGCCAGGAGGAGGAGCACAACACCTGGGATGAGGAGAGAGACGCCGAGGATCAGGGCCTCCTGCCCCAGCAGGAAGGAAGCCGCACCGGCTGCAGGGCCCGATGGCAGCCCAAAATCTGGGCTCTCTTCGAAAAGCCTTGCTCCAGTGTGCAAGCGAAGGTAACCATGAGGGCTTCTCCAGAGCAAGGATCCGGAGGGATAGACCCTGAGGGCTGCAAAAGTTAAGGAACAACTGTGCCAGTGTGGCTGCCCCCCACGACCTGCAGGGCAAGCAGAAGTGTAGCTGCAGCTACCCTTACTGGCATGGAGGTGCAGAGATGTGCGAACACATCGCATCTTTGCCTAGCGTGCAGTGGTTCGGAGCTCCGGAAGTGGGTGGGCTGCCACAGGGCTGTGCAATCCGTATTCCTTGCCTGGGGAATTTGGGGATGAGAAAAGAAGCATCGCCCCTCCCGGCAGCACAACCCTTTCTCACAGCCTCCTCCAGAGAGAGCAGGACTTCGGGGTCCATGTTGCATGGGGACTATGCGCCATCCGTTTCTCTCCTTCTCAGGCAGGCTGGCGGGGGGACTGCAAGGCAGAGACTCAAACCGTGTGGTTGCCCCACCTTCGTGCAGGTCTTTTCTCTCCCTGGCTTATGTGCACAAGGGTGCCAGATGGAGCAGGGCGTTCTTTGCAGAAATGCGTTGCATGAACAGCCATAGAAATAGGGTTCTGGTCATAATGCAAACCTTGGTGAGGCGACTGAACCGCCTTCTCTCCCTCTCTCCCCTCCTGCACAGTGCCTGGCTGCCATCTCTCTTCTCTTCAACGTTGGCATATGCGTCCTTTTCATACTGAACTCCCAAGAACAAATCCATGTTATTCCCGTTCACCATGCCAGCCATTTCCACCACAATGATACCACCTACCACCACGAAGTGGAATACTCGTTTTACAAAAGGTTCCTTTACCTCCTCCATCTGGAGCTGTTCTGTGTCCTCTGGTTCATGCTTGAATTTTCCGTGCGTCTTACTTTCTGCCCAGACAAAAAGAAATTTTTCCTGAACCCTCTGAATATCGCTGACTTCCTCTCCTTGTTTCCGGTTTACATCGAGCTGTTCTCAGCTGAGCACCCCGGAGAGACCTGTGCACTCGTGTGCTGGCTGGGCTGCTTTCGCGTTCTGTACTTCCTCAAACTCCTCAAGATACTCAGGCTGGTGGAGAAGCCTCTGATGTTCAGACTCCTGTCCTATACCTTCCGGTCCATCCTGAGAGAGGTGGCCATCCTGCTCATGGTCTTTGCCTTTGAAATCCTTTTCTTTGGCGCCCTCTGCTTCTATGCAGAGGCCATAGGAGGTGATCCTGAGACCATGTTCGACGACATCACCTCTTCCTTTTGGTGGGCAGTGGTCACCGTGACCACCGTGGGCTATGGAGACACGTACCCCACCCTCACCCTCGGCAAAGCCATTGCGGCCTGCACCGCGGTCTGCGGGGTGCTGACCATCATCATCCCCATCCCCATGTTTTTTATTAAGTTCAAAGGCTATTATGATGCTGCCGTAATCAAGGAGAAGATGAAGAGGATGAAGGCACAAATGTCAACGCTTCCCTGTGAGAACTCCAGAACGCCCTACGGCCAGCTTCTTGCAGGAAAGGAAGCTGGCTTCCCAGCAGCTCCCTCCGCGCTGCCAAAGCTTCAGCCGACCGGATCGCCCATTCCCATGTGAGCTGCATGTGCTCCTCCGCGTCTCCTCTGAGCAAGCAGACCTCCACACGCACACGCAGCCTCGCAGACCCATCTGAAAGAGACCGTCTGGAAGAACTGCTTTCTTGCAAGCTTCCTGCTTTCTCCAGACTCTCTGGTGGGCACACGGCCTCGCTCCTAGTACAGACGCCTGCCATTTCTCGGCTGTGGTGAGTGCTTTGGGTCTCCTTCGCAAAGGGTCCCACGCAATAGAGACTTCGCGCCACCCCTGCCACAGCGGACCTAAGGCCGATCTGATTACCCTGAGTCCTGTTTCCATGGAGACCTCCTCATGCTCCCCAGCAACTTGCATAGCCGGGCACAGTCTCCCTCTGTCTGGAAACCCAAGAGAGCCATGCCCTACCCTCCCTCATGCACACCCATGCGCCCCTCGGAAACCAGGAGTAATACAAGGCTCCCGGAACCAACCGAGACTAAGCTCCACTAGCTCCTTCTCTCACCACAAAGCTCAAGGTCTGCCCACACTTCCCGTCCTGCTGGAGTCGACAGTGGACCAGAGATGCTCTCCAGCTCTGGGAAGAATGAGTCCTCCCCCATTTTTGTGCATCAGGTGAAGGCAACGCGGAGGCCCCCACTGTGTCTCACCCACAGTGAAGACACGACCTCAAATGCCATCCCTGTGGCTGGACATAGTCTGGAGACCATCCCGGAGCCAGGATGGGAGGAGCTGCTTCAGGAGGCCGCCCTCATCTGAGCTGATGCCGTCGCGGTGTTCCTGGTCATGGGCCCACGTGAGAATGAGCCCGTCCCTGCCAGGCCCCTGCAGAGAGTTTCCTGGTAGCAGCAGCCGGAGGGAGGCCCAGGGCCACCCGACCAGCAGTGCCCAGGTGCCACCCCTTCGCCAGGAGGAGCACAGGCCCTTGCGGTGACGGGCATGTGGGCATCATCAATGGAGGGCAAGGACTGCAAAATTTTGCTTTCATGCTGTGCCGCATTAAAGAAATAAATGCTAATATATTTTGCTGAAATGCTTAGTTTCATTAAAGAAATAAATTCTATTATATTCATATACTGCACAAAGCTGCACCTGATTCCCGATTCACATATCCCAGGGCCCAATTAAACAGGATGGTTAATTGCGTGCACACACACATTTTTTGCTAGGTGCACTGCAGATAAGAGGCCCGAGCTGGGGTGGGGGTGAGGGCAGTTGCAGGCACGTAACTCTGCGGTCTCTGCCTAGAAAGCTTCTCGGAAACCGCAACTGTTGCCCACAGAGCAGGCTGCATGCAAAGTTAGGTACATGCCAGAGAGAGCCTTCTGCACGAGGAAAAGTAGGGCTAATCGCAACTTTCCGAACCACACGTACGGGTATAAACCGGAGGCTACGAGGTTCTGGCGTTTCTGCATCCTAAGAGGCACCTGGGCAGAGAGACCCCGGCTTCATTGTGCGAAGAGGCAGAGAGGTTGGGATGGCTGGGATGGCTCAGCTTCTCAGCAGCCTTCCTCCTGCCAAGGTCTGCCTCGTGGGTCACCCTTAATGCAGGTGGCCCTGGGTCAAAGGAGACAGAGGAGAAGCAGGGTTGTCCTTTCCCTTTATGGAATGAAGAGCACAAGGCTCGCTGGTCCCTGCAAATACTGAAGCACCTGCATGCCGGAAGCCGGAAAAAGAGAACTGCGGGTGTTGCTGGCTCCGTGGCAGTGCAGTGCCCTTCAGATGTTCTGCATTTCGACTCCCATCAGCCCTGGTCATCATGGCCAACGACTGAGAGAGTTGGGTGCTGCAGTTCAGCATCTTTGGATGGCTCCATGCTGGGAAAGAGTTTGCAGATTTCTGCTTGCTGACATCCCAGATGTGTGAGCCGATTGCTCCTTGCCAGCATTGCTACTAGGATGGGAGGCAGGTGGGAGTCCGTAGGCATCCTCAGACTACTCTTGGCTTGGCTTCCTCAGCAGGCCTGGCCTGAGCACCAGGGGCAGCCGCGGATGCCAGGGGATGGATTCCCAAAGGGTTCATCCCAACCCTGGCAGTTGTTGTTGTTGTTAGTCGTGAAGTCATGTCCGACCCATCGCGACCCCATGGACAACACTCCTCCAGGCCTTCCTGTCCTCCACCATCCCCTGGAGTCCACTTAAGCTCACACCGACTGCTTCCGTGACCCCATCCAGCCACCTCATCCTCTGCCATCCCCTTCTTCTTTTGCCATCTATTGTTCCCAGCATCAGGCTCTTCTCCAGGGAGTCCTTCCTTCTCATTAGGTGGCCAAAGTATTCGAGTTTCAGCTTCAGTATCTGGCCTTCTAAAGAGCAGACTGACTGGTTTGATTGCCTTGTGGTCCAGGGGACTCGCAGGAGTCTCCTCCAGCACCACAATTCAAAGGCGTCAATCCTTTAGTGCTCAGCCTTCTTTATGGTCCAGCTTTCACAGTCATACATTGCAACTGGGAAAACCATTGCCTTGACTAGACGCACTTTTGTTGGCAGGGTGATATCTCTGCTTTTTAGTATGCTGTCTAGATTTGCCATAGCTTTCCTCCCCAGGAGCAAGCATCTTTTAATTCCTTGGCTGCAGTCCCCGTCTGCGGTGATCTTGGAGTCCAGGAAGATAAAATCTGTCACTACCTCCATAACCCTTGTTAAGACTAACCAGATCCATTGATTTCGGTGGCCCAACTCCAGCTATGACTAAACCAGGATCTAACTCATGTATGTAATCCTCTTACACAATCACAGAATAAAAGCATTTCCACCAGCAATTGGGACCTTATTAAAAAGCAAAATAGTATTTAAACATTTATGGACTACTTTAAGGAATAAGGAAGGTGTTATTTATGCTCAGACCACAAAAGTCAGGCTAAGACAAATCTAAAGGGAGGTCATTTTGCTTCACTTACCCCTGCACTCTCCTGTCTGAGGAACGGGTGTGCTATCGTAGTATTAAAGCTTCTCTCCAGGTTTACGACAGACCCCCTTGAAGTTTTGAGAAAGCAAAGCCCCGTGGTGTCCTGAGCATTTGCTCAGAGTCTCACAAGCCCCGGGAGCTGCACACGTTGTGTCTGCTTGTGTGAAAGCTGCGCATTTGCCATGGAATGGGCCGTTCTGGCCAATGCAGGGCTCCAGGCAGGTGGTCAAACAAAGTGGGATCCCGGAATAGACCACCGAGAGAAAAAACAACAGGGCAAGTGCATCCTGCGATCGATCCAGCAGGTTCGGGGTCCTTAATGTTTCCCTCAAGGGCGAAATGGTTGATAAAGCTCTTTGGGTCCCTGGGCTAGGGTCCACACTGAACATCTGGGGGAAAGCTCATGTGTGTTTTATACAAACTTTATGTGCAAAAATGGCAAAGTTGGCCCATCTTTACTAGAAGGAACAACATTCTCAAGAAAGGAGAAAAAGCAGGCCCGGGGTGGGGGGTGCGACCAAAGGAAGAAACGACGTGTTCTTGTTCAGATTTCTTTTCTCTTTGTTACACAACAGCTCTCTTCTGAATGGAGCCAAGACAGTTTGAACTCTGCTGGTTTCCAAGACACCAGTGCTCTTTGAGGAGCCGTGGGTGGGAGGGGAGGCCCCTGGTGGGGGCTGTACGGCCCATGCAAACATGTTTCTCAGAAGGAGGGCAAGGCGATGCCGATAGGAAGGTCGGCAGCTGCGGGTGAGGGAGGCAGTGCTGGGGAGCCATCTCTGCCGGATTGGCTGGCGCTGTTTGCTGGCACAGCAGGGCTCCAGGCCTGGACATGGGCCACCAGGCATCCTGTTTTCATGCAACTGGTCCTGTCCCTCGCTGCCTCCTGCTCTCCCCAGTCCCTGCTCCGGCCACCCACGGCCGCCTCCGCCGCGAGGAGGTGAGCTGCGCCAGGGGCTGTGCCTCGGGCAGGCGGGCGGGCGGGAGGGAGGTCTGAGCGAGTCGAGCGGCTCGCAGGGCGAGGTGCAGCAAGGCACACGCAGCCCGGCTCCTGGGCTGCAAGGGCACGAGGAGCTGCCCACAGAACGGCAGGCAAAAGTTGCAGAGGCGGCCTGTGCCAGAGCGTCCGGAGCAGGGCCAGGAGAACGAGTTCGGCTGCCTCCCACTTGCTTAGCTCCTGCAAACTTCTGTTTGATTCACCCGGTACTTATTTTAAAAAGTTTGCATAAAATTCTTACGCCTTTTTGTCTACATGCCTATTGATGCATGCATTTTTGTGTACCACTTTTCAAACACACTTTTTGTAAGCAATTTTCCTTTTGTGATACACTTTAATGCTTTTTTTCACCACAGGCAGGTTTGTTTGCAGTTTCCCCTGCATTTTTGTGCGCATTTCTTCACTGGAGGAATCTACTGCCTGATCGGAGGTGCAAATTTCAAAGGATAACTGGGGTTCAGTTTGTGGATTGGTTCAGAAGTGGAGCATTAGGTAAGTTCACATTAAAATGCCGACTGAAAATATTCTCTTCCGTTCCTAATACAAAGCTTCTCGTCAAATATGATCGTGCTGCATTAACGATGGGCATGCGGCATGCACTGTGGAAAATCAGGCATACAATTTTCAGACGTGACAGTCTTAAGTCAACTGGAATTTTGTAGACTCCTGAATGTTTTGGATGTTTTGGAAACATGTAAACATTGCCTGTCAGACATGATGTTTCCCTGCTTCTTTCGGCACGGACGGGTGTGCAGAGCAGCTTCTTTCTACATAGGAAATGCTTTCCAGTTCCAAAAATCACAATGTGTATGCAGCTGTTAAAAGTCTGCAGATCAAATGTGTCTTAAACTGTCTTCCTTCTGAGCATGTGAAAGCTTTTGAGTGTCATAACTATTCAGGTGGGAAAAAGAAGGGTAGATTTAAATCAGAACTTTTTGCTGAAAGTGAAAAGGTAAACTTGGTGTTTCTTTCTCAAAGTATCAGAGGAAATCACTTACAAAGAATAATGCCACCAATATTTCTACCTATGCTTAAGTTCCACCAAGTTCATTCACACCACGGGACACTATAAGGACAATCCGGAGTTTCCAGCACAGAAAAAATACCTTGGGAATTTGTGAAAAGTGAGGCACTTTGATCCAACAGTGCTTTGTCCTTGGGTTAAAATAGCAGGATATTTGGCCAGGGAAAAGTATCTCCCAGATTCAGAAAAGGAACACATTCTGGATTTGGGGTCTGTAGCGATGTTATTCATGAGTGTCAGTTTAGGCACACTTTTTAAAAGGTGTGACTAATATAGTTTGGCACAAATGCAGAGGGGGCTGGCCCCTACTCTGACGGAGTAATGCCATAGTGATATGGCCGGACGTGGCTGCCAGCCAGAGCTGAATGACTTTGCCATGGGCAGGGCCACATCTGCGATGCACAGGGCTGGACAAGCCTTACCCACTCCTTTTTATTTTTATTTTTTTGTTTTGCATTGTCAGCTTTTATTATGTTTTAATACAGTGCATTTTGTATCACTTTTAATGTGCTGTTAAGACCCAAAGATCCTTGGCTATTGGGCAGTCGAGAAAACCTACCCACCCACGCATCCACCCACCCATCATATTAGCATTAACTTGAGTCCTCAAAAGCAACTCTGGAAAAGAGCGGACACACTTGTTGCCCGGCGGGCTGCGAGTTCGTTCTGTGAGTTCCAGGGACCTGTCCCTTCTCAGAGGAAACATTCCAGCAGTTCAGTAGCCTTGTGGCAGGCAAGTTTCCTGGAGCACTAGCCGTGAGTCCCTCCAGGGCGCAGTCAACTTCAGATGCTGCCAATGGAGGGTTGACCTTTAAGGTAACATGCCTATTGGCTTTACTTACTTACTTACTTACTTATTTATTTTCTTGCTATCCCTCCCTATTGGCTTGCTCGCTCGCTTGCTCGCTCGCTTTATTTATTTTCTTGCTATCCCTCCTTTTTTCCCATTCAAGGGACTCAAGGCGGCTTACATCTTTCTCCTCCTCCTCTCAGTCTTATCCTCACAACAACCGGCCTGATGAGGCTCTGTGCCTGGCCCAGATCCACCCAGCTTCCTCCATGGCTGAGCAGGGAGTAGAACTCAGGTCTCCTGAGCCCCAGCACTGCACCCTTAGCCACACTGGCTCCCAGTGGGACTGAGGTGCTTCTGAGGTGTGTTGAACAGTTTGCCTTCTGCTTCTGCTTCCGCCCGCAAGAGGATGCCAAACTTGTCCACTGCCCCTCTGGGTTATTGCTAGATCCTGATTAGCAGCCAGAGAGGTCTTCCAAGGTGATTTTTGATCTGATTGCTCCCCAAGACAGGCCAGCCCATTTCAAAAGTCACCCCGGAGGCAGCTGTAACCCGGGCGGAAGGGTGTGTGCGATGGGTTCTCTGATCAGCCGCTGAAAGTGGCAACGGGGCGGCAGAAACATGACCCTGAACTGCTCTCCGGTGTCCCCAGGTCCTTAACGGAACCCGGCAGCAACATTCCTCCAACTGAAAGATGGAGGCACCTGCAGAAAAGATTGTCCTGAATGTGGGAGGTGTCCGCTATGAAACATACAGCAGCACCCTGAGGGCCTTCCCAGGGACCCGGCTGTGCAGCCTCACCGAAGCCCAGGCCGCCACGACTTCTGATTCCAGCCCTCGTACCCGAGAGTTCTTCTTTGACCGAAGTGCCCGGCTGTTCGGGCAGGTGCTGAACTATTACAGGACCAAGCATCTCCACTGCCCTGCAGGCGTCTGCCGGTCTGTCTTTGAGGAGGAGCTGGCCTTCTGGGGGATCACGGGCTCCACCCTGGCCCCCTGCTGCTGGACACAGCTGAGGCAGGTGGGCGTCCAACCGGAGAGCGGTGGCCTTGAGGACATCAGTGGCCAGGGCAACACCCAGGGCGGCCTCCTGCAGCAGGCCGAATGGAGCAGCGGCTGTTGGTGGGCTCGGTGGCAGCCCCGAATATGGGCTTTCTTCGAAGACCCCTATTCCTCTCGGTGGGCCATGGTAATGATGCATGCTCCTCTGGAATCCATAAGGGGATCTGGGAGGCAGGGCAGGAGATTTCCAGGGCCAAGGGTATTGAGGTTGGAAAATGGATCCACTTTTATTGTATTGACACTCTTAAAGAACTCTAGAATGTTCACGAGACGGGAACTGCCCTTGTGGTGGCACCTAGGTGTGCAGTTCTCCAGCTTCAGTGGGTTTTTCAATGGGATGCGAAGTAATTATAGGGGGAAGTCAGCTGTGTGGATCACTGGGAACTCAGATTAAGAGGGACTGTGGAATTTGGAATGGTTTGATGCTCACAGTGGATCTTCCCCCCTCTTTCTAGGGCTTCACGCTGGTTTCCCTGCTGTTCAACATGGCCATCATCATCATCCTCTGTGTGAAAACCGGCTCGTTTTCCAAACCCACCGGGGATGGCCCCTACTCAGGGCCCGTTTCATGCCAGATGCCCCCATACCTCCTGCACCTGGAGCTCTTCTTCATCCTCTGGTTCACAGTCACATTTTTCGTGCAGTTCACGTTCTGCCCGGGCAAAAAGAAATTCCTCCAAAGCCCCATGAGCGTGATCGACTTCCTTTCCCTGCTCCCTGTTCATATCGAGCTCTTCACAGCCGGATCTGCGCACGAGAGTCGGGGCCTGGCGTGCTGGTTGCGCCTCTTCCGTGGGGTGTATATTCTCAAGCTCCTGAGGGTGCTGAGGCTGGTGGAGACCCCCCTGATGCTGTGTGTCCTGCCCTACACCTTCCGGTCCATCCTGAGAGAGATTTGCATCCTCATGGTGATCTTCGCCTTCGAAATCCTTTTCTTCGGTGCCCTCTGCTTCTACGCAGAGGTCTTGCACGATGACCCACTAACAGCTTACCGGGATATCACCTCTGCCTTTTGGTGGGCGCTGATCACTTTGACCACTGTCGGCTATGGAGATATGCTGCCTTTCAGCACGTTCGGCCGTATTATCGGGAGCTGCACGGCAATCTGTGGAGTGCTGACGATTATCATCCCAATTCCGATCTTCCTCATCAAGTTCAAGGCCCACTATGATGCTGCTGTAATCGAGGAGAGGAAGAAGAGGACAAAGAAACGGGCGCCAGCGCTGCCCTCTTGAGAACCATGGAGCGCCATCCATCCATCCATCCAGCGGACAAACCCCCAAACGGTGCCCCACATGGCGCACGCTTCATTATCCAAGTTTTCTCTTTCCGTGTGAGCAGCGAGTGTCCCTGTTTTTCCAGAGGAACAGTTCATTTGCACACACATGTATTCACAGACGAGGCCTTTCTTCTTACGATGTGTTTTTCTTTTTCCTTCGGCATGTTTTTCCAGTCCCTCTGACTCTCTGGCAAGCACACTCCAACAAAGTCTGCCCACAGTCTCTCTTCATAATTTCCTTCCCATCTCAGTGTTAGGCTCCTGATTAACAGCAGGCAGGCAGTTGCCTGATGAATTCTGATAAGATCGGCAGTACAAAAATTGGGGGAACTGAGTGCACAGGCTTGAGCCTAAAATTTGCATTTGCCAGCGCCACGGATCTCTCAGAAAGGCGGCTTCTCCCTGGAGCTGGAGCTGGAGCTGGAGCTTCCACTTGGACCTGTCCCACCTGCCCATGATTCCCCCACCCGTTATGCTGTAGTGGGATCACCAGCAGGCAAGGAGGTGGCCCAGGCACAAGTGTGGCTGCAGGCGCCTGCAGTTAGCCACCCCCTCCTGCGGGGACTCCTCGCTCCCCACCTGCTTGCAGCCGTATTCGTGGCCGTCTGCTCCAGCTGCGCGCTCTGCTCTCGCTCCTTCCTTGCTTTTGAAATTGCTGTCCAGGGCCAGCTTTTCCTGTGGATATGCCTGGCTAGTGCACGGGCTCACATAGTCAGCCGTCTCCACAGTCCGAGTCGTCACAACTTTTCCGGTGTCCTGTGCTTCCCTTGACCACCCCAGATCACGGGCCATACACCCTCGACCTGCCATGCGGGTGTTCGAGGCCGGTGGGGCAGTTCCACCCTCCCCCAGCCGTTCCTACCCATCTTGGTGGCGCTGCAGCCACCCTTGCGGAAGAGGACAGGAGTGTGTCGACAGGCATTTCACAGAAGCAGCCGTGGGTGCGCAGAAGCGGTTCCCTGACAGGTGCCTTTTCGCCAGCATTGTGCAGTGGATCCCGTCCCTGATCTGGGGCAATTCTAGTCTTTCTATCTTGGAGACTAGTACAGAATCCATGGGGAGTGTACAGGGGTCTCTCTCTCTCTCTCTCTCTCTCTCTCCCCATTGTCCCGGGAATTTCTGTTGACATTTTTATATTCTGATAATGAAGCATCTATCAGATGCACTTCCCCCGTGCAGCTCCAATGGGTCAGGATTAGTCTGTGACACAAACCGGAGAAGCACAGATCATTGTCTATACCTTAAGGAGGCTTAGACTGAGTTTCAAAGGCGGGGGTCTCAGCCCCCCTGGATGCTGGAAGGGAGCTGGGGAGAAGGGAAGGAAGGAGGTAGGTCCTGCCTTACCTTCAGAAGAGGCTGCTGACACCTGGCACTGTACTGCAAGGCTCCCGTTTCAGAAATGTGATTCTGGAGGAGATGAAGGAGGAAAAATCTCCTATGTCTTTTATATAATGGAATTGTAAGTCACATATTTTGCTTTTGCACTGCACCTTATTAAAAAGGAACAGCATTATAGCATTATATGACAAATGACTGGATTTTAAAAGGTTGAGCAAAGTGGACTGCGATTCATGTCTGCTTAAATTCCTCATTTGGTAGATGGCTGCTGATCCGAAGCTCATGTCGCACGTGCCTGGTCAGCTTGGAAGAGCAATTTGCTCCCTTGGCACATGGCAAAGTGCTCAGGAACAGCCGTAACACAACTCTGCCTGCTCGAAGCTCTCCAGGTTCGCTCAATGCTCTCCTTTACAGAGGAACCTGCACGGCAAGCTCTGGTTGTGACTCACCAGGCCTTTTCACAAATCCAGGCAGGCACCACAAGTGCAGGGCCTTGGCTATTTTGCTGCGTAAAAGAAATCGGTTTTTCACCGTTGGCCTGAACTCTGAGGCCCACGACTAGCTGTTTAGTCCGGAGAGGACCAGGACGCAAAGTTCATTCTCGGTATGGATGAGAAACATCTACAGAGCAACTTCCCCATGACCTGTCTCCATTCCTATCAGAAACCTTGAATAATCTAGAAATCCTATCCGGAAATGGCCTCTCTTGTCCATCTTTCTTGGAGAGTGAAAATATCACAGAGACTGGGCAGAGTGTCAAGGAGAAGTTGAAAAAGCAAGGAAGAAACAATGTGTTCTTGTTCAGATTTCTTTTCTCTTTGTTACACAACAGCTCTCTTCTGAATGGAGCCAAGACAGTTTGAACTCTGCTGGTTTCCAAGACACCAGTGCTCTTTGAGGAGCCGTGGGTGGGAGGGGAGGCCCCTGGTGGGGGCTGTACGGCCCATGCAAACATGTTTCCCAGAAGGAGGGCAAGGCGATGCCGATAGGAAGGTCGGCAGCTGCGGGTGAGGGAGGCAGTGCTGGGGAGCCATCTCTGCCGGATTGGCTGGCGCTGTTTGCTGGCACAGCAGGGCTCCAGGCCTGGACATGGGCCACCAGGCATCCTGTTTTCATGCAACTGGTCCTGTCCCTCGCTGCCTCCTGCTCTCCCCAGTCCCTGCTCCGGCCACCCACGGCCGCCTCCACTGCGAGGAGGTGAGCTGCGCCAGGGGCTGTGCCTCGGGCAGGCGGGCGGGCGGGAGGGAGGTCTGAGCGAGTCGAGCGGCTCGCAGGGCGAGGTGCAGCAAGGCACACGCAGCCCGGCTCCTGGGCTGCGAGGGCACGAGGAGCTGCCCACAGAACGGCAGGCAAAAGTTGCAGAGGCGGCCTGTGCCAGAGCGTCCGGAGCAGGGCCAGGAGAACAAGTTCGGCTGCCTCCCACTTGCTTAGCTCCTGCAAACTTAGAGGATGAGGCAGCACAAGGCAAGCTCAGCCTGGGAGAGTGGAGGAGAAGCCCTGGGAGAAAGGACGAGCAACACGTTCAAATGGCTGGATGTTTAGGAGTGTTTTGGAAGTGTGTAAAGCGTGCTTGTCAGACGGACGCTTCCTCATTTCTTCCCACGGGGGGGGGGGGGTGCTGCCCCATGGCTTTCCGCAGAGGAAATGCATTTGCACATCCGAATGTTCAGGCAGTCCTCAAAGCTTTGCAGAGCAAAGGTAGCCAGATGCTCTCCCTTGATAAGCACGTGCAAGCCAGTGAGAGCCACTGCACTTCAAGAAGGCGAGGACAACCACAGTGTCCACCAGGTTTTTATTGGTTCAAGTTTTTGCCAAGAAACTTGGCATTTCTTCCTTAGGTGACTTATTGGCAGGAAGTTTTTTTTTCTTTTTCTGATTTATATCCTGCCTTTTTCCTACGAAGGGCTCAAGGCAGCTTACATCATTCTCCTCCTCCATCTCATCCCCACAACAACAACCCTGTGAGGTAGGTTGGGCTGAGAGTCTGCGACTGGCCCAAAGGCACCGAGCTGGCTCCATGGCCGAGCGGGGACTCGAACCCGGATCACCTGAGTCCCAGTCCCATGCTCTTAACTTCTACACCACACTGGCTTTATCCTTTCAAGGTAACCCCAAAAGCTATCAATGATGTCACAAATATTTCTAGTTAGTGTTTTACCTCTACCATTGTTAGGTTGCCAGGATGTTCCACACATCTAATGTGAAATGTTTAAGCCTATCAAGAGGTTTCAGGCCAGTCGAAATACCTGAGGAATTCAAGACAAGCCAGGAATTTTGATGCAAAAGTGTCACTTGCTTTCCAGGAAAAGGAAGGAGGATTTGCAGAAATGGGTGGGTTTCTTTGTGCATACCAAGTTTCCTGATAAGCTGCCTTGGCATGCACGCTCCCCTGAAGGCGCTGTGTCCTCACGGATCACAGAGATCCATGTTCCTGGGCCCCAGAGGAAAACTCTGCTATTTCAGCGATCAGCCCTGCCCAATATTGTCCCCACTCAATGAGTTGCTCTGGCCCATTTCCTACTTCCTCTCCCTCACAAGCTTGAGACAGGCAGCTGTTCTTGTCCATATAGAACTTGGATCTCCCAAATCTCAATCCAATGTGTAAGCCAACGCGCCGCACTGGCTCCCATGCACTGATCCGTGCATTCAAATACAGGCCATTCACGCCATCCCAATCATCTCCTCATCAGAAAGAAACTTTGGGCTGCATTCCCAGTTGCAGAAGTAGCATGCAGCTGTTTTTGAGGTTGATAACTTTGCGAAGAAATACTCGGGAGAGGGGGAAAACGTTTTATGCACTCATCACACAGACGTTGTGCAGGTTGTATGGTTTCTTCAGTTTAGACATGCAGAACCATGTTAACTGCTTTTTTTGTTTCTGTACGTGAAGTTTTCATAACTGCTAAGAAATAATATATTCTCATTTAAAGGCATTTCTAATGCAAACACTCTCATTGCAAGATAGCTCTTTTTGCTAGACAATGTGTCTTTCGTTGCATCATTGCCAAGTATATATGTAAAACAAAGTTTTATCATTTCTATTTCCATTGTCCTTTTTGTCTGAAGATGTATCTAGTGCTATGGCGCCTTTAAAGCTTTGCATAGCAAGAAAAGCAGTCCTTTGGCCCCTGTGCAGCATCATGGGGCCACGGTATACTTTGGATTCTGAGAACCGAGGCTGGAAACGGAGGTGCACACGCCACATCTCCTCCTGTCTCTTGCAGCCAGTGTGGAAAGGGCTGCTCCATCAGCTTCTCCACGGTCAGAAAACTGACTTGGGGGTGGGGGGGGGGTGGTTAGGGGCAGAGAGAAGGAATCTGAGCACACACACACATTAATTATTCCCAGAAATCATCTAAAAATCAGCAGTCCTTAGCTCTGTACTGGCAAGAGCCACAGGGCAGGGCAAGCTAGTGGGAGGCCCTGCTTGGAAATGCCAAGGGAAGGCTGGCTTCCGTTTGGGCCCCAGGGCTTCCAGAGAAGCTTCCAAGCTGAAGCTCAGAAGTGGAGCCTTCCAAGTTTGAGAATCCAGGGTATGAGCTAGTTTTGCACACAAAGGATACACAAACACGCACAAAGGAACTGAACCTTCCCAAACCTCCTCCCTTCACTTTGTCTGTTGTCCCCTCCAGTGATCCAGTCACTATTTTGCTGTTCCCGGGACAGATTCTTTCCATTCCCAAGGCGGGCAATTAACATACACTTCCATTCACTAGAAGCTACTGCAGGCCAGGCATTCAGCCGCAGCCAGCGCCTCTCAGACAAAGCCCTCCCATCAGAGGGGTCGGAGCAGGAGCAGCCGTTGGGCCAACCTCCCTGGGGGTGTCAGGGAAGGCGTGCTTGCAAGGGAGCTCGTTCCCACAGCGCAAGAGGCCCTGGGGAGAAAGCAGCCCCGTCCAAGGGGCAAAATGCCAATGCACAAGCGAGCGAAGCACACGTGCCAGTTTGGCAACAGGGCAACAAAGCCAAGAAAGAGAACCCTGCCCTAAAATGAAGAAACACTTAGTATCTAATAAACTGCGGAATTCCTTCTAAAGAGTTTCTTCACTTCTGTTCTTCTCCCAAATGGGTGCTCAGTGTAAAGTGGCCGCTCCCCTCCCCTTGGCAGCAATGTCACACCCACTGGTGTGACTGGAGCAGAGCAGGAAGAGCATCCCGGGGGTGGCGATAACCGTCAGCATGGCAGGCTGCCTGCAATTTTGCCTGCCGCTTCACGGCGCAGCCCTACGACTATTCGGGCAGACCACACTCCGCCAGCTGCGTTGAGGGCTTCCTGCCCCAAGGTGCATAGAACTGCACCCTTCATCAAGGAGCAGCTCGAAGAACCAGCCCTCGGAAAGCTGTGCGGTTTGCCACTTTCCCGATTCGAACAACACTTTCGAAGAGCATGGACACTTTTTCCCAGCAGAGGGCGCAGCCTGCCAGCAAAGAGGCTCTCCTCCTCCTCCTCCTCCTCCTCCTCCTCCTCAGGAGGAGGAGGAGGAGCCTTGCCGGCATTTGCTTCCATCTGTCAGTCATTCAAGCTCACCCTGCTCACAACCCTGAAGACAAACGGGGCTGCACTGTTTCTGAAAAATGGTGAATAAATCCTTGAACCTGTGGTTGTATCAGGAGAGTACGATTTAATACCACACCTCTAGAAAATAGACGTTTCTGTCAATGGTCTTTTGGAAAATGTGCCAGTTCCCCATTCAAAGTGTGCGATTTCCATGTTTGGGTGAAAAGGAAGGCAGGCCACAGACAATACTGAGCCTTTTCTGTTCATTGTCAGGGTGGTGACCAGAACTACACACCGGATTCTGAATATGGTCACACCATAGACTTACATAAGGGGAGCACAATCGTGACAGCTTTATTTTCAGTGCCTTTCCTAATGATGCCTGACATGCATCTGTGCATTTTATCTGATGCTTCGTCTGGGATTGCATCCCAGGGCATTTCTGCCGTTGAAATATTGCAGCTACCGACCACGAACACTGACAAAGAGGCTCCAGACAGGAATTCCATTTCCTTTGCTTTCTCTTGCCCCCTGAGCAAGGCAGTTCGCACTTTCCCCCAGGATTCCAGCTGCTCAGGAAAGCGCAACACCACATCCCACCCTACCTTTTTCTGGGGAGGAGGTTTTGACAGCCATCTCTTTATATCCCCATCAAAAACCGCCCCTTGCCCTGTCAAAGCCCTCATTGAAAAGG